TGATCATTAAGTGGGGGCTGCTCTGAGAATGAAATGTGAACCTCTGGGCAGTCAGTGTAGTAATTACTGAATTAGTACATTTCGGAAGTTTTAATTAAAGTGTCTTTTTTTTTTAGATCTAACTAGCAAAACAACATTCTGATTATGTACAGAGTTGGGTAAGTTAATGACTTTAGAACCCTTTCCTTAAGCGGTAGAGCAAATATAGTTAGGTTTTTAGAAGGTCATTTTATAATTTTTTTTTTTCGGGTCCGGTCATGGCACCTGACTCTGGGCCTGGGCGCTGTCCCTCAGCTCAAGGCTAGCGCTCGAGCCACAATGCCACTTCCGGCTTTTTTCTCTTTGCTTATGTGGTGCTGAGGAATCAAACCCAGGGCCTCAGGCATGCAAGGCAAGCACTCTACCACTGAGCCACCTTCCCAGCCCCTCATTTTATAATTTTGATGGGTGTTTGCAGCTTAACTTGGGCTGTTACACTGCACACCGTCGAGCCATGTGTGCCCACTGTGGACCAAGCTCTCAGTGCTGTGCAGTGGGTAGCTTATGACACATCTGACATGAACTCCCCGTCTATAACAGGATAAGAAACAAGTATCTTCAGGTTTTTTAGGCTTACTGGTCCAGGATGAAACCTAATCTGAGTGGACATCTATGGATGAGAAATGCGGATATGGGACTGAGACCAGCTTTTAGGTGTCTGCTTTGGTGGGGGAATAGTAAGGCAGAACTAACTCACTGGCTCACACTTCTTTTTCAGGAGAGGAGCTTCTCAGGAAATACCCTGGCAAGAGAGAACTGACTACACTTCAATAAAATATCTGCAAGCAGATCGTTGATGTGCATGCCATATACACCTACCTCTAATCACAGATGATAAATAAAAGGTTTCTGCCTATGTTTTGTCAGTTCCTTGGTTCTTAATACATTTACTAGGTCATCTAAAGAGGGTGGCCTGAGCTTTTTTAACTCACAGCTGGTAATGGAAGCCGTTAGCCAAATAATTCAGGTCAGGTTGGCTCCCGCAAATGGGAGTATGTAGTCTTGGATCTAGCCAGCCTTCTTCAGTGGCTATTGCCCAGGGTAGGGCCTTATTTCAAACCAGTAACCATCTGATACTGCCCAAAAGGAGGGAAAAGAGGGCAATGAAAACTCCCTAACTACAGCATGGACAAGACTTTCTCCTTACTAAATAAAGCTTTTGGCCTTTGAGGCTGCAGCTTGTGGCTTGGGCATTGTCCCTGGGCTTTGTTTTTGCTTATGGCTCATTCATGTTCTACCATTAGAGCCACAGCTTACTGGCATTTTTGCTGGTAGTAGGGTATGTCTCTGGACTTTGCTACCTATGCTGGCTTTGATCCTCAGATCTTAGCCTCCCTAGTTGCTAGGATTACAAACCCCTGGTACCCACCCCACAGGGAATAGTATAAAGGGTGGCTTCACGGGAGGTGGTAAGCAACTACCTTACTCTAAGCCACCAGATCTGTAAGACATTGCATTTCAGTAGCTGATAACTGGCATCTGCCTCTCACTAGGCCTTGTATAGAGACAGCTTTGGCTTTAGGTCATACCACTCTACTTCTGGTCCATGATTCTCTGACAGTGTTGGGGATAGAGGGAGTCGCTAGGGTAACATGCTAATGTCTAGTCCTTTGTTCCCCTAGGCTCTAGCTCTGCCTGCAGAGCTGTCTGCCTCTAGTCCTCTTGGTACAGTCTCCTTTGCATTTGTGTCGCAGTTGGTCCTATGATTGTATTCCACAAACAGCCTTACCAGATGAAGGCAGGAGGGTTGCGGAAATACTCATCTCAGGAAATAGTTTATTTAAATCTTACAAATCATTTCCAAAAGTAAAAGTGGACAGTTTAAAAATGTGTCCAATTGCTAATAGTCCATCCTCCTTTGTCCTCTGTCCCAGCTACAACAGAGCAGGGATCTCTGAGGACACAGTGTCCAAGGGCTGCCAGTGACAGTCCATAAGTGCATCATACAGCTCCTCGCTCTGCTCCATGAATTCTTTGTTGGCCTCTGTCACGTCCAGTTGTGGCATGGGATCTGGGAAGACAGGTCAAGGGGTATTAGAGGAACCATCATGTATTGTACAAGGGTAAGGATAAAAA